GTCAGCTCCAGAGAGTGAACAGAAGACTGAGTTTCTACAATGAAGGGAGGACTGGTCAAGACTGAGGGCTCCAGGGCTTTAGTATGATGCTCAGAGAGGACAAGAGCTGGGGTCTGTCCCCAGCCCAGGTCTGCTACCACTGAACCTGGGAGTGGGTGGGGGTCAGGCCCATGGTCTGCTGGGCTGAGTCACCACTGGAGCTGTGGGAGGTAGGGACTCTGGGAAGCAGTGTGTGGGAGCTGAACTTCTGAGTCTGACGTTAGCTGCCTCCCTAGCACCATTCCGATCAGAAGTTTAACACTGTTGTACCTGGACACATGCACCATGACAAGAGACTGCTGAGTACTGCATTTCCGCCCCCCCACCCCCTGAACCTCTCTTCTGCCTCCCGAGGCAGGTGACTGCTCCCAAGGTGGCCATGCAGACTTTCTGAGATGTGCCAATGGTGGATGTCAGAATTTGTGCGCCTCATGTTCTGTCCCAGCTATTCACTTCTGTCCGTGTGCAAAAGCAGCCATACATGGTATGCAAACAAAGGGAGTGGCTGTTAGCCAGCAGATCACTATTGGGAATACTGAAATCTGGGTTTCATACAATTTTCACATGTGGTAAAGCATTATTCTTGTTTTTATTTTCCCCAACCATTTAAAAGTGCAAAACAATTTGCAGCTAACAGGCAGTGGCCTGAGCTCTGGCTTAGCAGGAGGCACTGCACCCACACCAGGAATGGCTCTCCTAGGTTCCCACAGGCTCTAACCTGCGGCTGCAGCCAAACCACTGTTTCCCGGTTTCCTGCATTTGCCTTGCTGGACACCTTTTCAAAGCAACGAGAAGTTAACACTGGAGCTCTACAGAAGGGCTTTGTAATCACATCTTTAACCGAAGTTTCCAGGCAATAAAGAAAGAAAGTGGAGGGTGACAGGTTTATATCAGTTTTATAGTTTCCAGATTCACTGAGGCTTCCCTTTTATGGGCTATCAAATTAGTATTTGATACATAAATTCACCCTTAGAAATAAAATTTACACTGCCATCTAGCGTTAAGCCACTATTTTAACAGAAGTTAAAAAAGGTTTTCTTCACACTATGCATCAGGATGACTATTTTAGTGTATTCCAAGGTCATACAAATGAAATGCATTCAAAAGCATAGCACTGCCTATGCTAAGTATAAATGGACATAGCATCAGGAATTGTTTAAAACTCGCTGGGGGTATAAGTATTCTTCTGTTGAAGAATTTATATAAAGTATTTCCAATTTTGAATATAGTGACAATGGTAAAAAAGGCACCCCCTGCCTAGCCAAGAAGATTTCTTTTAGATTCTCGAAATCTGTGACAGGAAGACTCCCGAAGAGTAAATAGCTCATCTTGTTAAGATGAGATCCCAGGAAGATGCTCCCAAGGTGCCACCTCCTCTGTCTAACTCTACTTGCCCACTGCTCCACTCGGTGCCTCGAGGACGATCCCACAGCAAAAGCCAGTGCAGCCGGGGAAGGGGTGGAGACGCGGGGGCCCCGGTGCGCTGAGACCAGACGCTGCTGAAGCAGTTCGTCAAAATGCTTTCTTTCTGTTTAGAATACTACCTAGTCTTTCCAAAAGGCATTTTAGGCAGTTTGCACCATCCCTTCACCTGCACAATGAGCACCTACTGAACGAGGCTCTTTCACCTCTGCCTCTCTGACCCAGTACTGAAGAGAGGACCAGCTCTCGGGATGAACAATCAGGAGCTGAGTAGGCGGGGGTGTAGACACAGAGATAGCTATAGATTTTAATTTTAATTTATTTTTATTTTTTGGTACCGGGATTGAACTCAGGACCTTGTGCTTGTGAGTCAGGCGGCGGCACCACTGAGCTAAATTCTGGCCCCTGTAGATTTTTCTTTTTAATGCAAAGTAGGAACAAGTAAGACAGAAGTGCTAAAAACAGAACCCCAGATAAATAAAGGACAAAGTGACAAAAAAATGGAGTAGTCAAAGTCAAAACTTGCAGTGGTCCTCTGTATTTCATGAACACGTTCACTTCGGCAGATTCAACTACTGAAAACATTCAGGTGAAGATAAATGCGTCTGTAGTGGGCAGGGAAGGCCTTTTTCCCGGTCAGTCCCTGCACGGTACAGTCTGACAGCCGCTTGCACAGCGTCTACCCTGTGCTAGGCACTGTAAGGGATCGCGAGGGGATTTCAGGCGAAACTACGCCTTTGCACACGGGGGGGCTTGAGCTTCCACGGACTCGTTTCCTGGCTGGGGGGTGGGTCCTGGAACCCAATCCTTTGCTGCTACCAAAGGTGACCGTACTGCTCTAATGGAAGTCAGGCAGGGAGGAATATGAAGAAATGGAGAACTTTTAAGAGCCGGGAAAAAGCCAAGAAAATATTCAACATTATTATCGTTAGAGAAAGATAAATTTAAAATGCAGCGAGTTTTCACTTCAGACTTCATTCACGCCGATTACAATGAAAAAGCCTCTCCAGGCCAAACATCTGCAAGGATGTGGCGCACACACAACTTTGTGCACTGCTACTGGCAGAGTCAAACTATTTCGGGAAGCTGTTTGGTAGTTATTTTAAAGGCAACTTCACACCCACGAAGCGTGTGGCCCAGAAATCGCACTCCCAGGCATTCACTCAACGAATGTCTGTGTTTGAGACAAGATGTGTCCAAGATGCACCCTCACAGTCGCTTTATTCATAGCAGCCCTCAACTGGGAACACCCCAACCTCCCCGTCAGAGAAATAAACTGTGGCAGTCTCACACTGAACGACACAGCGATAAAGAGAACAGCACTGGTTTCCGTAGCCACGTGCTGTGTGAAAGGAATAAGGCACCACACAGTGTACTAAGTGACTCCGTTTATACTCAGGTGGAGGCAAAGCCACTGGACTTGGTGATTACAGGGGCTGAGAGGAAAGCTTCAGAGAGTGGTGGAAATGGAGGAACACTTTTGGGGTCAGGGAGGAACCCATGGCGGGGAGCCGCATGGGGTCAGCAAACCGGCCACAGGCCACAGCTAGCCCACCGGCGTGGTCACACCGTCCGAGAGCTAAGACAGCCTTAACATTTTTCAAAGACTGTAAGAGAAAACAATAAAGAAAACAAAAACCAAAGAAGAATAAATGACAGAAAGCAAATGAGGGCCACAGAGCCTAAGGCGCTTACTCTCTGGCCCTTTAGAGAAGGCGTCTGATCCCAACGCACTTTTCTCTGTGTTGGGCGGGGGACGATGTGGGTGACTCAAGGGGAGGCAATGGCAAGGGTGTGCGCTGAAGGGAAGAGGGAAAAGGGCCTGCTCCTCAGGGACAGATGGGAATCATGAATGCAGCGATGTTACAGACAGGACAGTGACCCTTAAAAACGGAGGGCAAGGGAGGAGGCCAGGTGGGCTGCCGGCTTCAGGGCCCATCTGACCGCTCCGTGAGGCTGCAAGCCTTCCCCAGCACCTCCGAGCCCAGGACCGCTCTGCTTTCTGCTCCACAGGACCTGTCACCTGACTTGCTGTAAGCTGGGTGCTTGCTTTTGCCCAGCCCTAGACTGCAAGCTCCTCAAATACAGCAGCATTTGTCTCTTTCATTCTTTTTTTTTTCTGTCTCTTTTATTCTTGATGTGCTCTGAGTGCCTTAAACAGTCCCGGCTACCGGGCAGGCATTCATACATCTGGAGAATGAGTGAGTGAGTCTGCAGAGAGCGAAAGGTGAGGCTGGAGGTATCGGGACCAGTGTCACCGACCTTCGGGGCAGATACTGCCTCACCGAGGAGAGCTGTCCTGCGCGCTAAGAGACCACGGCACAGCGGCCTCTGCCCACCAGGTCTCAGGAGCACTCCTCTAAGAGGTCTCCAGGTACTGACAGGTCTTCCCCAAATCACCTGGGCTGACCACCACTGGGCTAATGGTGGGCTTCAAGGCTGTGGAGCTGCTCACTCATTTGGCAGATGATTATTAACTGCAAGAGACGACAAAGACTCCAACCTTGTGACACTTACAGACTGTTGACAAAGACAGCTGATAAACTATAAACTGTTACCATCACTGAGTAATTATAAATCAGGATTTGTGTTATGAAGAACTAGGATAGAGAAACAGAGCCTAGCAGAAGAGTTGTACTTCACAGAGGGTGGTGGGAAAAGGCCTCCCAGAAGACAGAGCTGGAGTGTGAGGGAGACACAGAGGAGGGGTGGGGAACAGTGTGTGGCCGGGACGCAGGCAGGGCAGGAGCACCCGGCAGGACACAGGCAGGGTTCGAGGTGAGTGAGGCAGATCACCAAGGCAAAGCCAAGTGTGGGGCTGGCGCTGATGCTGACTCAGCTGGGGATTCGGTGGTGGGTCTGCTCGGGTGGGGACATAATCCAATGGGTGTTTTGAAAAGACAATGGCTACGCATTAGTGGAAACCGGACAGAGGAACCAAGAAAAGGACTCACCAAAGTGCCCTGAGAAACGAAGGCCACACCAAAGTGGCCATGCTCCTATCTGTAGCAATGGTCAAAAGAAGAAGACAGCCAGCAGGATTGAGGCTGGGCACTAGCAGGGAAGGCCAGGGAAGGGACAGGAAGGTGAGGGAAAGAAGTATGCTCACGAGGATACCACCAGACAGCAAAACCACGCTCCCAGGCCAGGACAGAGAGATAGGCAAAAGCAGTTTGACAGAGCTTGACAACCCTGCTCCTCAAAGGTTCAGGGGATACAAGTACATGTGCCCCAGCTTCAAGCACTGCTCTGGAAGTGGGCAGGGAATGTTATCTGCTAGGAGGCAACGGCACCTGCAGAGATACACACCAGAAGAGGCAGCTGTTACGGTATCAGGCCTGGGGCCAGGCGCTCAGCGGAGCCCTGGCTCTGGACCTCTCTTTTACAATGCAGATACTCTTCCACTGCCAAACTGATCTTCCCCGGGACAGCTCTCAGTTGTTAAGTAAAATGTGAGGACAGAAAGCTCTAAAGCAACACCAATATAAGTACAGAAAAGAACACAGTCACCAAAGTCATGGCAAAAATTATGCACTTACCTATAAGCATTAATATAATCTTTTCTGTGCTCCAGAAGAAAATCTTTCAGTTTGCCAATGTGAGAAATCTAAAATTAAAAAAAGCAAACAGCAGATTACAATCATGTAACCAATTCCACATTAATGGAGACAGAACGAAGACTGCGGATAGGCTGTGAAGCTACGAAGTGAGCAGCTCTGCTCTCAGGCTCTGTGCAACTGCATCAGCGGACCCTCCTCCCTCCCACTGTCGCGACGGATGAGCTCCGAGGACTGTGCAGATGAAACGAGACGACACGTCTGCTAATCTAATCGAGCAGCTTGACGTCATCAAAGTTCAACCCCCTTCCTGGTGTGTCTTCTATCTACAGTGTTACGTGTTCCTTCTCCCAAGTGCTCAAGGGGACGGATGCTAAGGCTGGCGCTATGGTGTCTCAGGGGCCAGAGAGGAGCCAGGCTGGAGGGCCTGGGAGTTGCGTTCTCTCTGCTCAGCAAGTCTCCATCCCCACTGTGTCTGCATCCGGGGATGAGTGCAGGGAACGCCAAGGCTCAGGCTGATTTTGCCTCACGCACCCACCCTGCAGCATCTTCCATGTGCCAGGTACTGTGTGCGGAGCTGGGAATCACAATTAAACAAATGAAATAAAGAGGAGCAGGAAGGAACCCTGGCTCGCAGATGCCAGGCATGTGAGTGTTTGCAGAAGGGGAGAAGGATGAACTGGCCATGGCATGCGTCTTTCTCCCGTGCTCCCACTTTGTGCTCCTGCCAAACACAGGGGGCCGGCCTCAGAGGGCTGCCGAACTTTCATCTCTGCAGGAAGCTTTCCTGTCACAGCCGATGCAGCCCAACTTTCACTGTGCTCTGAACTTGAAAGGACTCTGCTCACCACCCACTTGGCACTCAGTCACACCTGGCTGTGTACGCTGACTTCACTTCTACACGTGCTCCTTTGTCAGCCACAAGGGAGACGTAACAGGGAGGAGATGCACAGCATTCGCTGCAGTTCTCGGCCAGGAAGCACAAAGTGTGATCGATACACACTGGTGGAATGAAAATGTGTCTAAACATAAAATAGCATTTTTCACAAAAGAAGACATTCCGCGGTCTAGACTAGTATTTTAAATGCAGCTCAGGAAGGTACTCTAAGTCCATTACGGGCAGGGATGGAAGAAAACAAAGCAAGGAGGCCACAGCATTCCTGTGCTGGTCAGATGACAACGCCCGGAGTCTCTCCAGCACCGCACTGACCGCACCTTCGCACCCCGGCCTCCCACTTCCCCAGAGCCCTGAGCTAACCAGCTTGGGAAAGCCGACCTCACAGACAGACAGAGAAACAGACTGGTCCACAGTCACATTCCCTGTATGGCAGGTGGTGCTCAGCCGTGCTGAGCTCAGGGCTGGGCCCAAATTTTGCATATTTTCTGGTATACCAGAGCTGTCTGCCTCACATTCTGCTCCTCTTCCACTTAAGCTGCATCATGAAATCTCACTTTTAAGTCCGTTAAAAAATTTCAAGAGACGGCTGGGGATTTAGCTCAGTGGTGCCGCTGCCTGACTCACAAGAGCAAGGTCCTGCATTCGATCGGCGGTACAAAAAAAAAAAAATTTTTTTTTTAAGACATGTACAAGCAAGGTTTTATCGTATCACATACAAGGTTTGATCAAGTGATTCCCATTTCAAACCTTCAATGGTCTCCATCCCCTTACCCTAACCGCTGCCCACCAGGGGTCACAAACTCCTTACCCCTCACTCCTGCTCAGGGGCCAGGTAAACAATCAAAAGGAGTAAAGCAAAGGAATTGGTGGGCGCACACACAGCAGTGGTGAAGTCTGGTTTCTCTTTGGGGTTCAGGGCTCTCCCCGTGGACTGAGCCCTCAAATTGCACATTGATGGCTCTTTGGCAAATCAGCCAGCAGAGCTGCTTTCTTCCACCGTGGCCAGTCCCCAGGCCCTCCCAGAGCACCGCCCATGGCATGGCAGCACCTGGCCTTCGTGCCGACCACAGCGACGACTCATGGGCAGATTTCCTGTCATTAGTGTGCAAGTCCCAGGGGCTGGAGGGCACCCTCTCCTCTCCTGTCCTAGTAGAGCCTTCAAAGATTTTGTAACTGTTGGATAAATAGCGGCAACTGAATAATCACAGAAGGATGATACCATACCTACCATGGGAGGCAGAATAATGCTGTTCCAGCCCCTTCCTTTAAAGATGTCCTGGAATCTGTTACTCTGTCGCATGCAAAAGGGGGATTCATGTAGTAGGTGAATTAAGGCTGCTGGCCAGCTGACTTCAAGTCAGAAGATTATCCTCAGTTAGCCACGGAGGCCCAAGGGACACGGAGGTTCTCAAATGTGGGAGGAGGCGGAAGAGAGAGGCAGAGTAACGTGGTGTGAGGAAGACAAAACCCACTGCTGTTGCTCTGAAGATGGAGGACGACGGCGCCGAGGAATGGAGAAGAGCCCTCCCACGGCCTGATCACACCTGGGTGTCCCATGTCGGACGTCTGACTCACACAACTGTAACATAGTAAGTCTGTGTTGTTTAGGTCACAAGTTTATAGTAATTTGTTAAAGTGGCAATAAGAAATAAACACATGTATTTAGTGTCTTCATCTTCATAATAGTTTTTCTCCGAAGTCATAATGCTTTGCATGAAAAGTTTAAATAGGCCCAAAGGAGTCCAATATACTCCTTTGCCCCATTCCCCACTGTGAGTTCCTTCTAGCCTACAAGAGCAGACCAGGGTAAGAGGATGAGTACCAGGAGCACGAAGGCCCTGGGAGCATCTCACGAAAACATCATTACAAGAGGTTTCAGTTAAAGTCTAACAAATGAGGTCCTAGCTTTACACGTTCTGTCTGTAAGGGCAAAGCCTACAGAGGAGCTCGTGAAAATGAGTGAGGCCTGTTCCAGGTTAAATGGAAGTCTTAATTACTGACCTAATAACAGCATCAGAACGAGGCCGGATACTTAACGTGAACACACTGTATAAAATAACACCTAATGCAAAGAATGAAAAGAAAGGAAGCATCAAGATTATTTCAGACACTTGAGAGCTCTGAAATTTCTATTATATTCCTTAAAAATATACATAAAAATCATAGCAAATCAGTAACAAAAAATTTCAAGTCTTTGACTTGTCTAAATGGGCACAGTGAAGTCCACAAACAGCATTATGATGGGGTTATCTTTGTACGAAAAGGATCTGACCGTGTGGACTCACACACTGCCACCACCTTTAGAGATTCTCAGCCAAGCGGCCTGTTTATTGTCAGGCTTAGCCTTATTTTTGAGAATAAACTACCAAAGACTGCTTATTTCACACAAGTCTGATCTCCTCACCTCTTCCAATGTTCAGAGAGGTTAAAGACTCGTAAGCTTCAGATTTTTAATGATTCCACACAGGCGCTAACTCCGAGTCACTTGTGTGATAAGGACATGTGCATATGACTAACGAGAATACTTCTTTCAATAGGAGTGAGATCAGTCTGGTGTAAAGTTTGACAAGGAAATCACAGTAAAAGTAAAGTACATTAACTACAGTCGATTTCCTTGTCACGGTGTCACTGAGCAGCATCAGCAGTGTGGGAAGGGAGAGGGTTCTGAGGAGAAGGGATCACTGGGGAGGTCTCCATTGGACCAGGTCGGCGACAGACGCAACAGTGGAGATGAGGGAGCGGTCGGGCTGGAAGCCACTTTGTGCAGCCCCGCAGCAGGGTGGACAGCTGAGGGACACCCTGGATGCCTCCGCAGCCTCTCTTCCTCTGCCTGGAAAGCTGCATCACTCTACCCAGAGGCCCCTGCTCATCTTTCCAGGTTCCCTTAAGCGTCACCTCCCCGACGAAGCCTTCAGAACACCTCCTCGGTCTACGGCAGACGTCCATTTGCACTTCCTGGGTTACACCAGAGCTATCTGTGGCCCCCACCAGAGTTCACTGAAGTCCCTGAGCTCAAGACCTCTGTCCTAGTTATTTTGCAGTCCTAGCAGTGCCCAATTGTTGGAAGGGGAAACGAAGGGGAATAACAGAAAAGGCCTCAAGACTGATAAATCCTAACGTGCTGGCTGGATCCAAAAGGCCGAAAGGTACTACCCAGACCATACTTAGATAACAATGTGGATACACAAACAGAGAGGGACAGGCCAAGCACTTGTGCACAGTAGTCCCCCAGGGAACTTGCCAGGCGTGTCTGGAAGGTGCCTGACTGCCCCGTGGGACGGCCGTGTCCCCGAAGTGGACCACCTTCCATCCCACAGAGGGTCCACCACTGGACACTGACCATGTCTCCTCCAGGAGGATGGGTACGGATAGAGAATGGCTAAAAGAGAAACAGAAGAGAATGCAACATTCTTATTACATCTCCCTGTGCCAGTCACTGTGAGTGAGCTGCTCCACTTCATTCTGAGAACGGATATTTTTCTTGGTGGAAAGAAATTGGTAGAGCTGGTGCGACAGCCCTCAGGGCTGGGCTGCAAGTGTGCTGTGCTCTCTACCTGACTGGACGTCAGTCATTGTAGAGACTGTCACGTATTATTGTTACTATCCTGGTTAAAGAATCTCCCACTCAATACTGAATGATACCAAGAAATCACAAGGAACTTCTACTTAGGTGCGAAGATGGTATTATGGACCATTATTAGGTTATATTTATCTTTTTTGTTTTAAATTCCTCTCTTTTAGAGTAAGTACTGAACGATTCACAATGAAATGACTTAACAGCAAGGATTCACTTCAAAGGACGATGAGGGAGGCAAGAAAGACACAGATCAGTGACGAGCAGATAACTGCTCAAGACTGGTGCATGCGTACACACACAGGTTCCTTGTAGGTAATACTCTTTCTACGTGTACTTTCATATATCATTCTTCTTTTAAGATTTTTAATCACATGGAGGTAAATATTTTTCTGCCATCAAACTAGTAATAGCCCATCCTGCAACCAAAAACTAAATCCTCACAATCTCTAGCTATCTTATTTCTCTGTACTTAAAACCTTTGCTTACATTTTATTTAACAGGATCAATATCACTTTAAAAATATCAACAACAAAACTCGGAGGCAGGCAGACTTCCAGGAGCTCTGCAAGCATCAG